GAGTCCTGGAGGGGGTAAACGGTGCCTGCACTTTGAAGTAGGGATGAGGATATTGTAGTCTGGAGGGGCATCTTGACAGTAATGTCTGCTCCCTTCTGGAGACAGTGATTGAATGAATGACGATGAAAGCGTTGCTCTTCTTTTTTTTGGGTCACCATGCCTGGGTGGGAGATGGCTGGTGTGGTAAAGAAATTTTTTTGAAAAAAAAAAAAAAAAAAGATCTACAATATATAGTTCCATCCCCCTTGGCTAATCTTGCATATATATATATAATATATATATATATATTATATATATATATATATATACATACATATATATATATATATATATATATATATATATATATATATATATATAACATATATATATATATATATTATATATATATATATATATATATATATATATATATATATATATAAATATATATATATATATATATATATATACATACATATATATATATATATATATATATATATATATATATATTATATATATATATATATATTATATATATATATATATATATATATATATATATATAATGTAATGAACACTTGTCAATAATAACCCACCTGGAGACAGAAACTCAGAAAATTAATTGATCTCTATATTTCAATCCTCTTCAGCAGCGGATACTCGAGTGTGATGACAGGTCAGGGAGTGAGTGTGATGACAGGTCAGGGAGTGAGTGTGATGAGAGGTCAGGGAGAGAGTGTGATGACAGGTCAGGAAGTGAGTGTGATGACAGGTCAGGGAATGAGTGTGATGACAGGTCAGGGAATGAGTGTGATGACAGGTCAGGGAGTGAGTGTGATGACAGGTCAGGGAGTGAGTGTGATGACAGGTCAGGGAGTGAGTGTGATGACAGGTCAGGGAGTGAGTGTGATGACAGGTCTTGAAGAAAACCTTAAAAGTTGTGTAGGAAGTTCCTCCGTGCTGTGTTGGCATCCTGTGTTAGGTTGGACGCCGGTATGTACTTCTCTAGTGTGAATTTTGAAATGACATTTAGCTTCCATCGTCTCTGTGATATGTTAAAGTCAGAGGTGGTAGCTATGAGGGAAGAGTCTCTGTTTTTGCGGTTGTAGCTGCAGTGTGATTTGTGTTTGATGGTGGCAGCTTCCCAATGAATATTGTGACTGTTGATGCTGACATGTTGAAAAACACGTCTTCTGGTGTTCAATGATCCTCGTAGACAGTGTTCGGTCTGTCTGCCTTATGTATGCTTGGTTGCAGTCTTCACATGGTATCCGGTAAACTCCTGGTGTGTTTTGCATTGCTGATTATTATTATAATAAAAAAGAAGTGGTAAACCTACAAGGGTCACACAGCACAGCAGGGCAGGGGATGGTGATAGATTATAGAGTAGCAAGGGTGGAACGGACACCAGAGGGAGGGTTAGAAAGGGCTGTAAGGAGTGCTAGAGGAAGTATCATCACAGTTTGTGCAGTAAATCAGTTGCTGTCAAAAAGTCTGTCAATGAGAGAGTGAGTCAGAGGTGGGTCCGTCAACAAGGAGGGAAGATAAAGTAAGGACGTTAGAGCAGTGACGACGTCAAGAGGTAAATTCTGCATGCTAGTTGATAGATTGAACAGCCCAACAGAGTATGGTGAACCGAAACTGGAACCTGACAATTTTAACAAAGGGGAACAGTGCGCCTCTCCATGAGATATCTGTAAGACGAGTGTGTCCGATGCGAAGACAGGAGAGCGTAGTCTCCTAACCTAGACACTGATGACAAGAAGATGGCCAGAACCCTAAACTTGGTTTGCTAAAATTAATTTCTTATGTATCATATCAGACCAACGTTGATGCCAAGGGTTGTGAGGGTAGGTAGAAATTACAGCAAAATAGTCTGTGAATGGAACACCTCTACATAAAACTGGGAGGTCATGTACTGCTGACCATGTAGCAGTGTCTTCCTGTTCAATGCCCTGTACATCAACATGACTGGGGACCCAACAGAAAACAATATCTTTGTTTTTGCTAGAGATGTGGCATAATCAAGATTGCATATGAAGAACTGGGGATGAGATGAATCAATTTTTTTATACCTTACAAAGCTCTAAGGGAGTCGGAGACTACCACAAATGGTGACAAAGGCATAGATGCAACAAGGATAAGTGCTACAAGAACTGCATACAATTCATCTGTAAAAATGCTAGCCGAGTCTAGTAAATGCCCTCGTACGACGCTGTCTGAAAACACTGCTGCAAACCCGACAATGTCAGAAGATTAGAACCATCAGTGTACACTGAGATGGTATGAGAATGAGATCGGAAGTGATTAAGAAAAAGAGCGAGAAGCAACTGTAGGCACTTAGGCATTCGTGCATGGCAGTGGGGAAGAACAGACACGAAATGTTGGAACCTCCCAAGGAAGAAGGAAAAAGTTAGATACTACATGAACATGTAAAGGTGGCAACTGAAGAGAAGACAAAAGCGAATGTAGACGAAGTAAACAGGGGCGATGAACAATGAACCTCTACTAACATCCGTTACTATCCTACACATCTGGAAGGAATGCGGAGGTCATAAGAGCGAACAAAATAGCGGAGGCAATGAGCATCACAGCGATCGTTCAAGGATGGAATATTTGCCTCTGCATAGAGGCTCTCAACAGATCTGAAGAGTATCTGCCACTCAGTTTCCATACTTTTCACCAGACTGCACTCATGGAGGAAACAGAATCCCGCCAATAAGTGAATTTAGCTTCATGAATAACACGGCAGGAGATCACTCTTATCCACTTAAAATCAAACAGTCGCTCTGTGGTCCTATTGTAACGTTAACTGCCCCATTCAGCACGTTTCAAATGTACTGCACGTACACAAGCAGAAGACCACCAAGGCAGACATTTCTGAGAATGCTTGCCCGAGGCTTGGGGCATAAAATGTGAAGCTGCAGTTGAAGCTGAGGTCGAGAATAGGTGTAACAGCTCGTCAATAAAGGACGAAGGAGAGTCCTCACTAAAAGCAATTTGACGCGAGTACAGTTCCCAATTCGCTCGGTCAAATTGCCAGCATGGGCTTCGATGAGATGGAGAATGCGAATGGGAAGTATGGAGGATTGGTAAATGATCACTGTTATGTAAGTCCGGGAGTACAGACCAAGTAAAGTCAAGTGTAGTTGATGAAGAACAAACTGGGATATCGATGCAAGAGAAATTGAGTTCGAGGGTCAAATTGGGTGGCAGCACCCATATTTAAAACATGGAGGGGGAGAGAAGTGAGAAGAACCTCGAACTGAATGCCACGGGTGTCACAGTGAGGCCCCCCCCCCCAGAGGGAATGGTGAGCATTAAAATCGCCTAATAACAGAAGTGGTGGTGGTAATGAAGAAACCAGAAATGCAACATTGGTATAGATAATGCCTGAGAAGGAGAGAGATACAAAGAGTAGGTTGTATACCACTTATTCAAATAGATGCATGCTGCCGTGTAATGCAGCGAAGTATGAACAAAGAGCTGATGGAATGGTATACCGGTGCATACAAGAAGTGCACTTTCATTAAAGGTTTCATCAGAAGAAGAATCCGATGAATATAATAAAACATAGCCCGAGGCTGGATGGATAACAGCAGAGAATAATTTGGGTTCTTGTAAACAAACACAAAAAACTGGGAGACAATACCTGAAGCTCACCCTGGTTAGCTCCGAGGCTTTGGATATTTCACTGTAAATAAATCATGATTTGTGACGAGAACACAGGAAATATGATGCAATAAGTATCCACAGACAAGAAGGTTTAGTAAAGTCCACATGTGGATGTAGTAGAAAACGAGTAAGCAGCGAAGGATTGGAACACTGAAGAAAAGAGTTGTGCAGGTGGAGAAGAGATAAGAGTAGCGACGGGACGTGGATCAGTGTCCGTCAATGGTTTAGACTCCTCAATATATTTGGAGATAGCTTCAAGTGTTTCAGAGGACAAGGATATTGTATGTGGAACGACATCGGAGATCAAAGGGGGAGTGTGAGTCAAGATCGGGGTGATGATGAAAGTTACCAAAGTAGGGGACGACGAAAGGTTAGAGTTATATTGGGAAGAGGCTTCGGAGGGAACAGGAGAGAAAGAAACCTGGGAGGGGACAGAAGAAGAAACTTGGGAGGGAACAAGAGAGAAAGGGACTGTACGAGGAGGATGAACCTCCACAGAGAATGGAAAGGAAAAATATCAGCAGGAGCGCCTTGCTGATACTATGATCAGAACGATAGTCTGAGGAAGATGGCTGCAGAGTAAAGGAAGCGATTGTCACATTGGTCTTTTCTGAGTAGAGTGAAAGGTATTCGAGGCAGTGTCATTAGAGAAAGATCGTGGTCGTTTAGATGCAGGACCGGGGGTGGTCTGTTTTGAGGCGAGCAAACGATCTGAAAGCCATCACCCTGTATGGGGAGAAGCCGGAAGCACAGTCAAAAACGTGCAAAGGTCGGATGTGTCAAAGAAGTCGGGCTGAGCCCAGTATCAGAAGCATGCGACAAAATGTCACCTGTAGTAGATACAGGTTATTAGAGAAGTCCCATAATGGTCCGGTAACAAGGAAGGGTCGAAGAGGGTGCTGCCACAGAATGGGACCCAGAAAGAGCAGTTTCATGGATTTGGGACTCTATGGTTAGGTTTCTCTTTTCTTTTAGTTTTTGAGAAGAAAAAATGAAAAAAGGAAAGGAAAAAAGGGGGGGGGGACGTGGAAGGGTAGCTCCTAGGGGAAAAGGACCGTAGATCCCCCTTCCGCACCCAAGAGGACCTCGGTGCAGACAAAAGAGAGGATAGAAACCCACCACAAAGTATACCTCCTATGGCCACCACCTCCTGGAATCTGACAGGCAGCCTCTAGAGATACACCCATCACCTGAAAGACTCCCAAAGCCTCTCCCAAGTAGATCAGAGAGGGATTGGGATCTCCAGACGATTCAGATTCCACAGCAAACTACATTACCACCAAGGACCTCAACAGAATGGAATGGGCTCCGGAGCTCTTTTCCTGGTCTAGGAACTAGAATGTCTGAGGGAAGAACCCAGAGGCTGAAAACAGGAAATGGACAAGGGAGGGATGGGGAAAGGAGGAGGAATGGGAAAGGAGAGATGGGGAGGATGGGACAGGGAATGGGAGGATTGAGGGTCCAATTCCTCAGACCAAGAGCCTCTTCACCACTGCAAGGTTCCCCCCCCTTCCCTTGAAGAGGCAGCATTGCTGAATGTTTGCATTTCTTGGAAAAGAGATTCTCTAGTTTGTTGGGATAGAACGTGATTATGTTGGTCACTTCGCTGAGATGATTGAATGTACCTTGGAATGTACTTTGGTGGGATTTGCTGGATGGAGTTGAGTTTTTGTGAACTAAAGCTTTATAATAGTTGATATTTGCTTTTTAATCTCTTTGTTTTATAAACCACTCAGGGTATCCTTGTTTGGAGAATTGTGTTCTGAGGATTTCTTCTTCTTGGGCCAGATGTCAGGACACTTCCATACGACCCACCTCGCCCTGGACTGAACTCCAGTCCTTAGTCTGTGAGCCGGCTGCGGTGCCAGTGAACCACAACATTTTATACAACTTCCAAACTTACTCGGTTCCTCGAAAAACTTTCTCTAATAAATATTACGTTTCTTGTGTTCCATCAACGGAATTTTGTTCAGAGTACACTGTTTGTATTAATTAAATGAACAAGAGTTACCACGTAACTCTTTGCTTTGTCCTCAGGGATTTGCTTAACATAATCACAGACCTTGTCACTTGGCCTATTATTATGTTTACAAGAAACGTGATAACACTTCATCACTGGTATTTAGAAATATATTTCCAGGAGAGGAGACAGACAAGAGAAAGAGAGATTCCCCAAGACGCCGCTAGTGTAGGGGAGACCGAGAGTCTTCCAGCGTTGCTGTTACCAACCTGAAAAATGTAAACAAACTGTATTAGTCATTATTTTTACTAAATCTGTAGTCCAGAATGTTAATCTTAGGAAGACTAGAATGTCACAAACATAAAAATTTAAAGAAAAAAAATCTGAAAATGGAATTTAACCCGTGCCATACCCTACCCTTCAAGCCAGTAAACCAGCAATCCGGGATAGCAACCTCATATCTACCGAGCCACCTCAGTGGACAAAATGGAGGGCAGTCGGAAATCCGCCACAAAGCATATCTCCTTCGGCCACTACCTCCTGGAATCCGACAGGCGGCTTCCAGATATACATCCATCACCTAAAAGACACCCGAATCCTCCACCCCGGTATACCGGAGAGGGATCGGGATCTCTAGATGATCCAGATTCCACAGCAAACTACACTACCACCAAGGACCTTAAGGGAAGGAGATGGTCCCTGGAACCCCTTCTCAGGGCTAGGAACTACAAAGCCTAAGCGAACAACCTCAAAGGCAGAAACAGAAAAGAGAATATGGAGGGATGAGGAGAGGAGGAGGAAAGGGAAAGGGGTGACGGAGAGGATGGGATAGGGAAAGGGGGACTGGAGGATAATTAGGTTCAGTCTGAGGAAGAAAACCAAAAGCGTTAAGTTTAAAGCCTATCGACTGGGTCATTAATGTTTTGTTAACAAAATTAGAAATATCCAATGTGATGTTACTATTCTTAGTTATATAACAGCTAACAGATTCACAAAATTAAGGCAAGAAGCTAAATTTTCAATATAACCTTTACATTAACAAAATGACTAAATCACTTCTTGAATTAGAGACTAATATAAAATCTTAAATATATACACTGAGATAAACATTGGTTACACAGAGACAAGCAACTCTCGGTGCATATCAGTGTATATGCAAACGGATAAACACCTCTCAGTGTATATACACAGAACCAAGCACCTCTGAGAGTACATATACTGAGAGATAAAAAACTCTCAGTGTATATATACAGAAATAAACATTGTTCACTTTATATATACCGCAGTTTGTTAGTAATAAAATGAGAAATAAACACATCTCAATAAATATACACTGATATAAACACTTTTAGGGCATATACACAAAGACAAGCACCTGTGTATATCACTATATATATATATACACTGAGATTAACACCTTCCAGTGTATATACACAGAGATACACACTTTCCATTGATTATTATTTCAGTAATACAGGTCCTGTAAATCATGACTGATGAAATACTGGGTAAGGTTTAAAATATTATACATCGTTTTTCCCGACTTTTAGAATGAATTCGAGTGTAAAAGTTCCCTCAGGTAACCAGAGTCAGCAGGTGCAAACAGACTTGTCCATACGTCTCATACTATCCAGGATGAGACCCGCAACAGTTCTGCTGTTCTCGTTCTGTGTGAACGAGAGCAGAAGGTGTAAGTCAACTTGCCTATAGGTTTCGCCTTATCTGGAACGTCAAATGTTATCTAGCTATCACTTTAACAGAACGTCAAATGTTATCTAGCTCTCACTTTAACAGAACGTCAAATGCTAAAGGGCCTTTCCCTCTCACTCCAACTCAACCTGGCACAGCCCCTACCCCTTCTTCACTGGATTTATATACCCTCTAGTTCCCCTGTTCTACTCCAACCTTCATCAATGGCCACGCCACCTCAAAGACTCCCTCTTCAGCACTGAATTATATTTTTCATAACCCAACATCCTCTTTTATTTCTTGCGTCAGTAATTAAAATCATATTCACATTGCACATTTATTTCAAACACTACATCTCCACTGCCTCAAATCTTGCCTCTTCCTCTCCTCAAGTTCTACAGACCATAATTCACACCAAGAAAAAAGTATTGTTACACTGTACTTTGGTTTATTAATCTTTTTGACTCCAATATTAAACTTATTTCTACTCACAGATGCCTCGACTCTCAATCCACCTTCTTTTCCCCTCTCATCTATTCTATTATTTATTTCTACTAATTCACTCCTAAATATCTAAATATACTTATTTTTCCCTTATTCCTTCCTTCAGTCTTATATCCAGGCTTTCACTTCCCAGCGTTTTCTTACCCTCATCACCTCGCTTTTTTTTCTGTTTGTTATTAATTTCCTTATTTTGCACTTCCTCCCACATTTGACTGCTAACCATTACAACTTCTCTTCAGAATCTCCCAAAAGAACCGTATCATCGGCAAAGAGCAACTGTGATGACTCCCACTTTATATCGGATTCATTATCTTTAAATCCCACACCTCAGAGTCCTAGTATTTACTTCTTTTACAATGCTATCAGGATGACAACACACATCTCTGTTTAACTGTAAAATACTTGTACATATCCTAACCTAGATGAATAAGGCGCATGTGCAACACTTTAATATCTACGAGTATAATGTGGAGACGTTTCTCCAATTAGCGGCATTATCAGTCAAGCAGCGAGAACGGTGGATGAAGTGAAGAAGTGATGTGAGGTGATCAGTCCCTCAGTCTTGTTAAGTGTTCAATCTCAACCTTGATAAATCGAGAGTAGATGCACGAGAATGGGAATTTAGAGACAGGTGTAATAAAACATTTTGACAGGTGTTACAGGTGTTCGGAACCCACTGATAGGTAAAAAATGAAACCAGTAGGTTAGGCAAGCAGTTACAGTTGCATAAATCCTGTGTACCAAGATTCCGAGATGTTGTTGCTTCAGACAGACACTGAAGAAGAAACATGAAGAATAAAACCAATGTAACAACAGATTTGCCATACGTTACTTACCCTTGACTGTCGGTGCTGGAACTGGTCAGCCACCATCCTTAACTCTCCACCTATCTTACTCCATCTTTCACTCGTTTTTCTTGTCTCTACTTCACCAGGTTCTTCTTCACTGCGCCCTCCTACCTCTGTGTGTCTATTGTTTCGTGGACACGACTGTTGCCAGGGTATGAGGTCAGCCAAGTTGATCCCTGCTGACAGGAAGGGCACGGGTAGACTTGTGAGGATTACCCAGATTCGCTGACGAACGTCCCTGATGAGTTCCAGGTTGGTATAGGGACTAGTGAGAGTACTAGGTGAGCAGGGCAGGTCGGGTGTAGGGGACGGGAGAGCTGTTAGACAGGTGCGTGAAGAAGTGGTGTAGGAGCGGTGCACAGAGGACGTCTGGACGTCAGCGGAGATGTAATGCTGTTTGGAGGATTGATCCTCCCTCCATTGATCCTTCTGATCCCAACTCAATTGAGTATTAGTGAGAGTGTTATCCTGGCTGGTGTGGGCGTGAGCCATGTTCGTGTGGGCGAAGGTGTGGCTCTCCCACACTCCGGCAGACAACATCTGGCTGGTGGTGACAGGTGTAGGTAAGCTATTCATCACTACGTCTGGCAACGGACTCTCTGCAAGTATAACTATTTCTTAACACCAAAAACGTTTAATTCTTCACATCTGAATCGATTTGAAGTGTTATTATATATGTCGTGCCGAATAGGTAAAAACATTCGGCAACGCTCTTCTTGCCGAATAAGGCAAGCGAAAATTTGTGAATGCAATAATTTCGCAAAAATCATTCTGAACCTAAGGAAAAAATATATATTTCATTAAGTTTGTTTATAATTAAATTACTGTAAACGTATCTAAAATATATTTAGTTGGATTAGGCTAAAATAAATTGCGCTTGTTATAATAAGGTTAGGTAAGTTTTCTATGATTCTTTTGGTAGAAAAATTATAAATTTTTACATTAACATTAATGAAAAAAAATATATCTTTAAACGTATAACAGAAAATTTTAGAAAAGACTTAATTTTAAATGAGTTTTTGCTAATTGACCAGTTTTACATATTCGGCACGACACACACACACATATATATATATATATATATATATATATATATATATATATATATATATATATATATATATATATATATATATATATATATATTATATATATTAACGCATCGACCGTCTCCCACCGAGGCCGGGTGAGCAGAAGAAGAGGAAAGACATCATAACTCAATCACTGTCTTGCTAGAGGCGTGCAGATACTATGGTCCAAAAACTGTAATATATCAACACTTCTGCATCAGAGTGTAGGTACTGTACCTCCCACCTCAAGGACTCAAGTCCGGCTAACCCGTTTCCCTGAATCCCTTCATAAATGCTACCTTGCTCACACTCCAACAGCACCTCAAGCCATAAAAACCATTTGCCTGTACTCAAGCCTTACAAACATGCTCACGCATCCTTGCCGAAAGTCTAAGCCCCTTGCGCACAAAACCTCCTTTATCCCCTCCCTCTAACCTTTCCTAGGACGACCACTACCCCTCCTTCCTTCCACTACAGATTTACATGCTCCCCAAGTCACTATTTTGTTCCATCCTCTCCAAGCGGCCGAACCACCTAACAACCCCTTCTCGGTCTTCTGGATATTACTTTTAGTAACCTAGCACCACCTCCTAATCTCCAAGCTTCGAATTCTCTGTATAATATTTACACCACACATTACCCTCAAACACGACACCCTACTACTACTCTCAGCCTTTTTCTTGTTACAACATTCACCACCCATATAAGAGCGTTAGGTTAACTATACTGTCATACATTCCCCTCTCTTTTCTTCCTTGTATAATGCTTTTTGTCTCCACAGACTCCTCAATGCACCGTTTACCTTTTTTTTTCCCTTGTGAAGTTCATCTCGTCTTTCATAGACCCATGTGCTGACAATCCACTCCTAAATATCTGAACACATTCACTTCCTCCATACTCACTCCTTCCAATCTCTTGTCCAATCTTTTATTACCTATTCTTTTATCATAATCACCTTGCTCTTTACCATGTTCAATTTTAATTTCCTTCTTTCACATACCTACCAAATTCGTCCATCAAGTTTTGCAGCTTCTCTTCAGAATCTCCCAATAGCACAATGTAATCAGTAAAACCAATTGCAACAACTCCCACTTTGTGCTAGAATCTTTATCTTTCAACCCCACATATCTCCCAGAACCCCTGCATTCTTCTCTATAAATATATTAAAAACCATGGTAACATCATGCATCCCTGTCTAACGCGTACGTTTACTGAAAAATAATATCCATCTCTCCTACATACTCTAACTTGAGCGTCACTATCCTCGTAAAACTCTTAAATGCTGTTAGTAACTTACCACCTGATCCATACACTTGCAACATCTGCCACATTGCTTCCCTGTCCATCATATCGTATGCCTTATCCAAATTCATAAATGCAACGATAGCTTCTTTATCCTAATCCAAATACTGCTCACTTAAATGCTTCAATGTAAACACTTGGTCGACACACCCCCTACCCTTCATAAACCCTCTTTGTTCATCTGTGATTCTGCGCTGTCTTACCCTTAATTCTTTCAATAACCCTACCATACACCTTACACGGAATAATCAACAGGCTTATTTCACTAATAATTCTCTTACATTCTCTTTTGTCCCGTTTTCCTTTGACACAAAGGAACCATGCACACTCTCTGCCAGTCCCTAGGTATTTTCCCTTCTTACATACATTTATTGATTAAAAGTACCAACTATTCCAAAACTATATAAGATCAGGTAAGGCTCGTCAGATGATGACCCGTCATTGGAGCTTTTGGTCATCTGACCGAAGCCTTCAGCAGGCTTACCGGTCCCAAAACTATATCCCCACCTGCTTTTAATATTTCTGTCTTTATCCCATCAATCCCAGCTGTTTTACCCCCTTTCATTCTACCCACTGCCTCACGCACCTCCCCCACACTGAGAGAGACAGAGAGAGACAGAGAACAAGAGCAAGTAGAAGAATCATGCAGGAGTTACCAAGGAGGTTTCAAACTATCAGTATTACTACAATAAACATTACAAAGAATGAGAGAAAACTAAGCAAACCAGAAGAGTAGCAGACTAAAGTAATATTAAACATAATGAAGAATTGCACTGAGTCCTGGTTTAAGTTCTTCACTGTGTAATCTGCGTAAATTTCTTAAACCCGAAGTATTTAGTCAGAGCATAGAATACTTTGAAGGTCTTTATCATTGATTTTGCTTTGATGTTTTATATTCTGGTTATTGTATTTATGATTTGCTGGATGTACATTGTACATTATTGTAACTATCGTCTGATAGTAACTATCTTATTGTAACTCTCCTCTGATATTATTATTATTGTTATTATAATCAAAGGGGAAGCACTAAACCCGGAGGATTATACAGCGCCTGGGGGGGGGATGTGGAAGGCATTCAGGCTTAATTCGGGGAACTGGAGCACAGATCTAATTCCCTAAATCAAGAGCCCCTCACCAACATCAAGGAACCTTTCTTGAGGGGTCTCAGGTAATAACTACCTTATTGTAACTCTCCTCAGATAGTAACTACCTTACTGTAACTCTCCTCAGATAGTAACTACCTTGCTGTAACTCTCCTCAGATAGTAACTACCTTGCTGTAACTCTCCTCAGATAGTAACTACCTTGCTGTAACTCTCCTCAGATAGTAACTACCTTGCTGTAACTCTCCTCAGATAGTAACTACCTTACTGTAACTCTCCTCAGATAGTAACTACCTTACTGTAACTCTCCTCAGATAATAACTACCTTATTGTAACTCTCCTCAGATAGTAACTACCTTACTGTAACTCTCCTCAGATAGTAACTACCTTACGGTAACTCTCCTCAGATAGTAACTACCGTATTGTAACTCTCCTCTGATAGTAACTACATTATTTCATATTGGACATTTCCATAACCCCTTCGAACTTACTAATTAAATTATTTTTGTATATCGTATGCTGTATAGTGTATGTTGTATATTGTATAGTGTATACTGTAGTGTGTTGTGTATTGCATGGTGTATGTTGTATATTGTATAGTGTATACTGTAGTGTATGTTGTATAGTGTGGTGTATGTTGTATAGTGTATGGTGTATGTTGTATATTGTACAGTGTTAAGTAAAAGGACACAAGTGCAACTAATATGACATTTTATTGTGGCAACGTTTCGCTCTCCAGGAGCTTTGTCAAGCTCCTGGAGAGTGAAACGTTGCCACAATAAAATACCACATTAGTTGCACTTGTGTCCTTTCACTTTACATATTGTCGGTAATTCTATCAATATTAATACATATTGTACAGTGTGTGTTTTATAGTGTATAGTGTATAATGTATACTGTATAATGTATGTTGTATATTGTTAAATCATGTTCCGGAAATGAATCTTGATGATACTAAATAGAACCAAAATTCTCATTACAACATTCACATGTCAAAATTTCACCAACATTCACATCTGCCAAACACCAACATACACGTAACATTTATATTTGGTCAAGCACCAACATTCATATCTGGCAAACTATTGCAATTATTCACATCACAACATTTCTGACATGCGCTACAATTCACATCACAACATACCTGACAAACACCAACATTCACGTCATACATATTTCACAAACACCAACATTGTGCAGAATTACCAATAGACCCATGGCTGTCAAGAAAGCACTGGACAGGTACCTAAAGTCAGTACCTGACCAGCCGGGCTGTGGTTCGTACGTCAGTTGACGTGCGACATCTGGGTATGTTTATTTGTAGGCGTTACGCCAGCTAGTGGCATTATCAGTATAAGGAGGAATCTTGCTACAGAGGACATCTACACAACCTTATTTCTTACTTCTGGCCAATTTCTTAGACATAACAAAAAAAGGCACAATACCGTGACTGGAACGATACGCAAATAACCCGCTTGGGATTCCCGCCTATCAGTGACAATGTCTTTATCTGCTGCAGGTCCTACACCTGTCGCCAGTATAAAAGCACCAAGCGCTATGACTGTGCTTCAGTTCCTTCAAGACTACGGTGCTCTTCACTGACTCCAAGGCTGAGGGACCGATTACCTCATCTTTTGTATATAATTCTTCACATTGTGTCCTTGTATTGATAAAGCCGCTGGATGGCGAAACGTTTACAAATATAGATACCCAGATGTTGCACATACATCTTGTCGGTTTTGTATATCGACAAGATGCAGAATGTGACGTTAATCTGTAGCATACATTAACGTCACAAAATACCTAACAAACACATTCCCGTCATATTCTACCTGACGAACACCAACATTCACATCACAACATATGCAAGTTTTCATGTCTAGGTACACGTAAATACAGTTACATAATCATACCTAGGAGCACATATGTAGATTACTTAGGATAATTTAAAAAAAATGAACATTAGCGTCACAACATATCTAGCAAACACCAACATTCACGTCACAACATTTGTAACGAACATTCACATCACACCATACCTAACAAACATTCACGACGCAACATACCTAACAAACACTTACCAAAATTAATAGTGTGAACATTCATAATGGGTAGACTGTCCATGGCTCCTTCTGTGACGCCCAGGGACACTGCCCCAACCTGCACAATCACGTTGATCATGGCGTTACGAGTAATGTAAAGTGGCTGCCAGCCAACCAAGGAACATCCTAACAACACCTTGATCTTTGGGTAACTATGAGAAGCCATTAAATGGCTACAGTTTTATAAAACCAACGACAAGCAGCGACAAGTGCGCGCGCTTTCTGCCATTTTTGGAATTCTAGCGTGCCGCCTACTAATCATTGTTCACAATTAATCACTTCATTTGCAACATATTTTAACCTCTATTCTACTTAATAACTTTTATAGTTCCAAGAAGAAACACATAATTTTTGCTGTGTTATTGTATTATAAACAATTAGATCGATTAATAAGCACGTCTGGCAACATAGCCTGGCTAGGAGCCCTGACTTAGCCCCGCCCCCTCACAAAGTCGACCAATCACAGGCGCGCGTCTGCACGTGGCAGACATTTCGCGCGAAAAATATGTAAACAAGGCGGTGAAGAGTTTGAAACAAACAATGAGAATAATGCTGCAGCTCTCCTGGCGAATAAGAAAGGACAGCCAGAAGGAGAGACCTGTACACAAATATACAATGAATAAAATTTAGAAAGATGTATTAATACGAATGGAAAATGAGATAAAAGTACATTAAACATTATAACATATTTAGTGAGGCACTTAATAAAATAAGATTAACGTTCATTGCAAATTTAGGGAAAAACAAGACAAATGAAAATAAATTATACTGAGGAAAATGAGTATACTAATGAAAATAAGATGTTCTGAGGAAAATGAGTATACAGTGAGATACAGTGAGGGAATATGAGGTACAACGAGGAGGTAAATGAGACACAATAAAGGAAAATGAGATGTAATGACTGAAAATGAGGTACAGTGAAGGAAAGTGATGCAGGGAGAGGAAAAATAAGATACAGCAAGGGAAAATGAAATTCAGCGAGGTAGGAGGCAATATGTCGTTCAGGCTAAACGGCACTTTTTAAAACAATAACAACAAACATGTCAAAGCCTGTCACAACATGAACCAGTTCACGAAGTGAGCCAAAAGGTACCTAATGAAAGTAGCTACAGAAAGGGAGGAGAGTGATTTCTTGTATAACTAACATATATATACCTATTACTGTGATCTGATGCTTAATGTTAATGTAAATAACTTATACCCAGTATATCTCCTTTTATTGTTTAAATAATATATATTCATATTATATCTCCTTTTATTGTTTAAATAATAATTTTTTCAAGGACCCCAATGAAAATAAGTCACTTTGACTTTCTTGGGTCATCCTGGAGGGTAATAAACACATATGCTGCTATGAATGATAATGCACGTAATTGTACTTATGTGTACCTGTATCTGAATAAACTTAACACCAATGCAAACCACAGTATGTAATAAAATCACCTCAATAAATCCACGTCTATTAATAAATCAACGTCAATAAAACCACATCGACTCATAAAATCACCTCAATAAAATCACGTCATCTAATAAAGTCACCTCAAAATCACGTCAACTAATAAAAAGACCTAAATAAAACCACGACGACTAATAAAACCAAGTCTAGTATAAAACTCACGTCAACTAATAAAACGAACAAACAAATATTTACAGATTTAAGTGCCTTTATTAGCATGGTTGGAAAGGTCAAGACAGGTGTTACACCTGTCTGGGACCCCTCTAGTTGAGAGGACGTGATAGGTGTTACACTTGTCTGGGACTCTAGTTGAGAGGACATGGCAGGTGTTACATCTTTCTGGGACTCTAGTTGAGAGGACATGGCAGGTGTTACACCTGTCTGGGACTCTAGTTGAGAGTACATTGCAGGTGTTTCATCTCTCTGGGACTCTAGTTGAGAGGACATGACAGGTGTTACACTTGTCTGGGACTCTAGGTGAGAGGACATGACAGGTGTTACACATGTCTAGGACTCCTCTAGTTGAGAGGGCATGACAGATGTTACACTTGTCTAGGACTCCTCTAGTTGAGAGGACATGACAGGTGTTACATTTTTCTGGGACTCTAGCTGAGTGGACATGGACAGGTGTTTCATCTGTCTGGGACTCTAGTTGAGAGGACACGACAGGTGTTATACTTGTCTGGGACTCTAGGTGAGAGGACATGACAGGTGTTACACCTGTCTGGGACTCTAGTTGAGAGGTCATGACAGATGTTACACCTGTTTGGAACTCTTCTAGTTAAGTGGACATGACAGGTGTTACACCTGTCTAGGACTCCTCTAGTTGAGTGGATATTACAGGTGTTACACCTGTTTAGGACTCCTCTAGTTGAGAGGACACGACAGGTGTTACACCTGTTTAGGACTCCTCTAGTTGAGAGGACATGACAGGTGTTACACCTGTCTGGAACTCTAGTTGAGAGGACATGACAGGTGTTACATCTTTCTGGGACTCTAGTTGAGTGGACATTGCAGGTGTTACACCTGTCTGGGACTCTAGTTGAGATTACATGATAGGTGTTACATCTTTCTGGGACTCTAGTTGAGAGGACATGACAGGTGTTTCATCTGTCTGGGACTCTAGTTGAGAGGACATGACATGTCTTACATTTGTCTGGGACTCTAGGTAAGAGGACATGACAGGTGTTACACCTGTCTGGGACTTCTCTAGTTGATAGGACATAACAGTGTTATACCTGTCTGTGACTCTAGTTGAGAGGACATGACAGGTGTTACACCTGTCTGGGACTCCTATACTTAAGTGGACATGATAGGTGTTACACCTGTCTAGGACTCCTCTAGTTGAGTGGATATGACAGGTGTTACACCTGTCTAGGACTCCTCTAGTTGAGAGGACATGACAGGTGTTACACCTGTCTGGGACTCTAGTTGAGAGGAAATGACAGGTGTTACATCTTTCTGGGACTCTAGTTGAGAGAACATGACAGCTGTTATATCTTTCTGGGACTCTAGTTGAGAGGACATGACAGGTGTTAAATCTTTCTGAGACTCTAGTTGAGAGGACATGACAGGTGTTACATCTTTCTGGGACTCTAGTTGAGAGGACATGACAGGTGTTTCATCTGTCTGGGACTCTACTTGAGAAGACATGACAGGTGTTACACCTATCTGGGACTCTAGTTGAAAGGACATGACAGGTGTTACATCTTTCTGGGACTCTAGTTAAGAGGACATGACAGGTGTTTCATCTGTCTGGGACTCTAGCTGAGAGGACATGACAGGTGTTACACCTGTCTGGGACTCTAGGTGAGAGGATATGACAGGTGTTACATCTGTCTAGGACTCCTCTAGTTGAGTGAATATGACAGGTGTTACACCTGTCTAGGACTCCTCTAGTTGAGAGGACATGACAGGTGTTTCATCTGTTGGGACTCTAGTTGAGAGGACATGACAGGTGTTAAACACGTGTTTCTTTCTCTCGTAAATGGGACTCTAGGGTGAGAGGGATATGACAGGTGTTACATCTGTCTAGGGACTCCTCTAGTTGAGGACATGACAGGTGTTACACCTGTCTAGGACTCCTCTAGTTGAGAGGACATGACAGGTGTTTCATCTGTCTGGGACTCTAGCTGAGAGGACATGACAGGTGTTACACCTGTCTGGGACTCTAGGTGAGAGGATATGACAGGTGTTACATCTGTCTAGGACTCCTCTAGTTGAGTGAATATGACAGGTGTTACACCTGTCTAGGACTCCTCTAGTTGAGAGGACATGACAGGTGTTTCATCTGTCTGGGACTCTAGTTGAGAGGACATGACATGTGGGTGGTCAGTAAGAGCCAATCATATCGTGTTTTCTTGTGACGTCACAATGGGTTGGTACCAAGAGCCAGTCATATCGTGTTTACACAAATATCCCACACAAAGAAGAGATGAGCTACGACGACGTTTCGACCCGACCAAGTCACACAAACGAAAATGAGAGCAGAAGGGGTATATACAGGCAGGAGGTCGTAGTATTAATAGTGGTGGAGGTAGAAAGTAATAGTATTTGGGAGGTAGCAGTAGGAGGAGCCAGTCATGGTATTGTGCCTTTTCTTGTTATATCGTGTTTTCTTGTGACGTCAGAATGGATGCGTGGCAAGAGCCAATCATATCGTGTTTACCTGTGACGTCACGGGTAAGCCTGGGCTCGCTGCGTTTATTCTAACTGGCATTTATTAATTTTTGTATTGTTAAATTCTTACCTTGAATTATACAGCATGATTTTATCATTTTCGTTATTTTTGTGGCATTTAATTCTATTGGTAGATTGAATTAGCACACAGAAACATTTACTAAATTGGAAAATTAAAAACCTGGCAGCCCTTGTTTGAGGGTAAACAACAAGAACAGGTGGTCGCAGTCTGGGGTCACTTGAGGTCAGTCATGGGAGACACGATGATCCTCCTGATAATAACACCTTACCTCTGACCTCTAATGATGTTTGCCAGCCACCCATTGTTGCCAGTAACGAACCATGTATCCCCAGGTCAATGAAATCCCAGGTCATGTGTGTTCACGGGAGGTCACCTTCAAGACCACAGAATACTCTCTCAACCAGAGTTATTGTCCACACTAAAACCCATAGAACTTTTTCCAGTAGCTCTTCTACAAACATATTCCTCTCTGTCTGTCTGTCTGTCTCTCTGTCTCTCTCTCTCTCTCTCTCTCTCTCTCTCTCTCTCTCTCTCTCTCTCTCTCTCTCTCTCTCTCTCTCTCTCTCTCTCTCTCTCTCTCTTTCTCTCCCTCTCTTACACAGGGTTTGACAAAGTTAGATTCAGGGTTCCTAACTTTTATTTACAAGCTAAGAGCTCATTTGAAATTCTTTTCATTATTAATAGATATACAAATAGAGAACAGGATGAAGTTGGAGCCTTCTCTGGGCTAGTGATTTCATATGATCCACTGACTTTGTTATGTTCATGTCATTATGCAGTACGGACATGGTCCATACTCGAGTCGTCCAGGGAATAAATGGTCTCAGATGAAGTGATGTTCTTGCAGTGGTCAAAGAAGAGGCAGATGTAGTTTAATGTAGATAAATGCATTGTTCTAAGCACTGGAAAGGTAAATAACCATGACACTTATTTAGGAGTACCGGTTATCAGTAGTCTGAAACCAAGACAACTGTGCGTTCTGGTCACCTTATTACAGAATGGATATAAGTACGCTGGAAAACTTACAGAGGATAACAAAGTTTTTCCCATATATCAGAAACCTCTCCTAGGAGGATAGACTGAGGGGCCCTGAATCAAATCATCCCCTGAATTAGGGAGGATTTGATTGAGGTGAGTAAATAGAATACAGGAATAAATAAAAGGGATGAAATGAGGTGTTAAAAATGACTAATCAAGACAAAACTCACAGAAATGGGTAATAGAGGCGTAGATTAGTGGAACAAACTCCCAAGTAACGTCATTGAAGCTGAAACCTTGTGTAGTTTTAAAAATATGTTGAACAAATGCATGAGTGGCTGTGGTGGGTTTGAGTTGAACCTAACCAGCTTGGGCCAGTAGGCCTGCAGCAGTGCTCCTTCCTTCCTATGGTCTTATGTTAAATAGTGTAGCTGTTGTTTGCTGCCCATCTTGTGGTATAGATGGTGTCTTCTCACTGTCCTTAAGGTGGGTTCAGTTGTTGTACTGTGATAATATTGATCTTGTACATGTCAGTAAGGCCACTCACTTCTCTCCGGTGTTGAAGGATCTGCTGAAATAACAGATCTATCCAGGCCGGGTCCAGGGGAGAGATGAGTCGTCTTAATCGGATCTTAATTCTATCCAAAAGCCGTTGATAAGACGGGGATCAGGTAATCCAAAAAAGTGGAGCATACTCAAGGTGTGAGCACACTTGTGCCTCAGACAGTGTTTTGCAACCTCTACTGTCCAGCAGGTACAAGATACGGTGAAGTGATGTTAGCTTCTTGGAATGGTCCCAAATCTGCACACAGAAATCACTCCCTACGAAAGTAAAAGACTGGGCAGGCGATGCAAAATGCCGCCAATAAAAAGTAGGGGCGCCATTGGTACACTAAGAGAAAACACCATAAGTGTCCGGGGCCCAAAGCTGTTCAACAGCCTCCCATCAAGCATTAGGGGAATTGCCAATAAACCCCTGGCTGCCTTCAAGAGAGAGCTGGACAGATACCTAAAGTCAGTGCCGGATCAGCCGGGCTGTGGCTCGTACGTCGGACTGCGTGCGGCCAGCAGTAACAGCCTAGTTGATCAGGCCCTGATCCATCGGGAGGCCTGGTCATGGACCGGGCCGCGGGGGCGTTGATCCCCGGAATAACCTCCAGGTAACCTCCAGGTAACCTTGCTGGTAAGATATACTACGTAATTCTTCATAGATATTTGTGGTCAAATTTCACTCCTTGGATATCCACCTCATGCCCGAATTCCAATTCCATTCTCTCTCTCTCTCTCTCTCTCTCTCTCTCTCTCTCTCTCTCTCTCTCTCTCTCCTCTCTCTCTCTCTCTCTCTCTCTCTCTCTCTCTTCTGTCACTTCTAAATCTATTTATCAATAGTCAACTTTTCCACTTAATACTTGGTAACTAAGTAATAAAATCATTGAAATAGAAGACTTAAATTTAGGCGAGAGAGAGAGAGAGAGAGAGAGAGGAGAGAGAGAGAGAGGAGAGAGAGAGAAGAGAGAAGAGAGGAGAGAGAGAGAAGAGAGAGAGAGAGAGAGGAGAGAGAGAGAGAGAGAGAGAGAGAGAGAGAGACAGACAGAAGCAGTATCAAAGGTCACACAGTAGCCTCCGCCACCTGCTGTGTACCAGATGACCACCTGCAGGTGACTCCCAGCATGCCTGAAGCTTGACCACCTGATCACTCAGGTTGTTGGTGCTTCCTGCATGTACCAACTACACCTTACATCACCAATAATTCCTTATCGAGATTCAAAGTTCTTAAGTTTTAATATAAATATTTTTATCTTAATGTTATATCTTAATGTTATATCTTAATGTTATATCTTAATGTTATATCTTAATGTTATATCTGAATGTTATATCTTAATGTTATATCTTAATGTTATATCTTAATGTTATATCTTAATGTTATATCTTAATGTTATATCTTAATGTTATATCTTAATGTTATATCTTAATGTTATATCTTAATGTTATATCTTAATGTTATATCTTAATGTTATATCTTAATGTTATATCTTAATGTTATATCTTAATGTTATATCTTAATGTTATATCTTAATGTTATATCTTAATGTTATATCTTATGTTATATCTTAATGTTATATCTTAATGTTATATCTTAATGTTATATCTTAATGTTATATCTGAATGTTATATCTTAATGTTATATCTTAATGTTATATCTTAATGTTATATCTTAATGTTATATCTTAATGTTATATCTTAATGTTATATCTTAATGTTATATCTTAATGTTATATCTTAATGTTATATCTTAATGTTATATCTTAATGTTATATCTTAATGTTATATCTTAATGTTATATCTTAATGTTATATCTGAATGTTATATCTTAATGTTATATCTTAATGTTATATCTTAATGTTATATCTGAATGTTATATCTTAATGTTATATCTTAATGTTATATCTTAATGTTATATCTGAATGTTATATCTTAATGTTATATCTTAATGTTATATCTTAATGTTATATCTTAATGTTATATCTTATGTTATATCTTAATGTTATATCTTAATGTTATATCTTAATGTTATATCTTAATGTTATATCTTAATGTTATATCTTAATGTTATATCTTAATGTTATATCTGAATGTTATATCTTAATGTTATATCTTAATGTTATATCTTAATGTTATATCTGAATGTTATATCTTAATGTTATATCTGAATGTTATATCTTAATGTTATATCTTAATGTTATATCTTTCTGTTTTATATCTTACTGTCTTTTAAGACAATCTATCACATATTTTACTTTCTTTCTGTCTCATAAACACGTAAGATAACAAGTACATCTTGCTACTTCTACTTACACTTAGTTTATGCTACACTTACAGTTGTGCACGTTCTTGTACGTGTGTACACACTCCTACAAGAGTTTTCCTTTGTAATTTCTTCATAGCTCATGTCCTTATGGTGTTTCTTTATCATGTCTATGTGGAAGTGGAGAAGAATCCTTCCTCCGATAGCCATGCGTGACGTAAAAGATAGCCAAATTA